TCTCTGGAGCATGGCTCCATCGGGGGATCGTGGTAAGGACAGCAGTGCTCACCTAACTTTGCACCTGAGGACAGCTTCAGGATCTTGTCATACTGTGGGAGAGCAGAGCTTCACAGTAAACACCAGCTAACATACTTACTACCAGTGTTAACACTAACAATTCTTACCTAAATATTAATACTAATAGCACTTACTATGCGTATTATTAAGGCTAGTAGAGGCTAGTAGCGTTCTTAAGGCTGAGGCTTGCATGAAGAACACAAAATTAATTAATGATGCTGATTATGCTATTGTGGTGTTGAACTACTCAGCCTCCACTGCTGTAGCCCCACACTTACCTCGATGGCCTCCCCCAGCAGGTCCCAAAACACCTGGATGCAGATCAGCTTAAGCTGCACTGATGTGATAAACAAGAGTTCACTCTTTAAAATTTTTAAAAGTTTAATAAAGGATAAAAGGACAAAATAATCCAGCACTGGGATGCTTTTAGCACACAGCCAAAGAGCACAGAGGTAGCTTAAAATCATGTTCACTATATACTGTTACATTGCTGAGGTTACATGCATATTCATTAACTTACATATTATTCAAACATTCCTTTGACTTTTTGATGTTCCAGGAACTCTTGTTTGGTTTTAACCTCTGACTTGTCTGCAGAACATTCTGTAAATTAGGTCTACATATTTTATTTCTTCCTGTAGTTTTATCCTGTTGCTTCACACTCCCTGATAATGCCGATAAGAGTCGATAAATCCTTCCTGGATGCCTAAGCTCCTTTTATCACTATTATCTTATCACTTGGTAGGGGCAGTCTGCAGTTATAAGAAACAGAATAATTGCTTTACACTATTTTCTGAATTAGTTACATAGAAGTACTTTAGTTTATATTTTAACATTTTGCTAAAGCCTACAATATAATATATTTATCATGCTACTATTCATATGAAATATACAGTGTGTACATAAACTGGCATATTACACTATACAAAGCAGTTAAAAGTAAGTATAAGTTTTACCATATCAAAATACTTGTAATGCAAAAAGCTAATCTATGAATGTGAAAGCCAATGTTGTTTAATCATCTATAACATCCGACGACGAGGGTGAGCAGCGGGCCCGCAGCAGGCGGAGGGCGGGCAGGGGGACGCGGGCACTTAACT